CACAACATCCTTATAGCCAAATTGGGCAGACCGAAGTTGGATGGGTGGTTTAAAAAACAGGTGCAAATTGATTGGACTACAAAGCTTAAAGAGCAGTGGCTGCTCACTGGTGACACTTCCCTGTGTTCTGTACTGGAACTGGTACTGCTGGAGCTGGCACTGCTGACAGTCCTCACCAACAACCTGAATGACAGTGGCAAACACTCCCAGCAGGTGACACCAAAATGCAGAGAACAGTCAGTACGCTGGAAGGGAAGGCTGCTGCTMAGAAGGTTCGAAACAGGCTGGAGAATTGGGCTCACAGAAATCTCATGAAGTTCAAGGACAAATGCAAGTCCAGCACCTGGGACAGAATAACCCCATGTTATTAGTACAAGCTTGGCACTATCTAGAAAACATTCTTGCAGAAAAATGCCTGAACAACATGCTGGTGAATAAGTTGAATACGAATCAGTGTCCTAGAATCTACGTCGTAGAAGAGGTGAAGGCAYGACATATGAGAAAACTGATAGCAGTGTTTGCTCAGGCCCTTTAAAGAAGGAAAGAGGAGGAAAAACTTCTGTGCTCAACTATGTATGGATGGTTACAGGGAAAATRGAACCAGGGGCTTCTTGGAAGTACACAGCAAAGATTTGAGAGGCAATGGACACAAAATGCAGAAAGAGAAATTCAGAGAAATTTGTTGGGATGTAAGGAGGGAAATCCATTCCAGTGAAGGAGGTCAAAGGCTGGAAAAGGGACAAAGAGAATGGTAAGTAGAATTTTTGTCCTTGGAGGGATCTGAAAGCTCTGGATCTGAACCCCTAAGTAACTTGATTTAACTTTGAAGTCAGCCTACACAGGACTGGGATTTGGATCTTCAGCCCAACCAGACTTCCAGAAATCCCTTTCAACCCATTTTTTCCCCAATTCCCAACCTTTTCTCCTTTTGAATGCAAGCAACAAAGTCCTGCTCCCAAAATTACACTGAATATACATGTATGTGTGGGTTGTTTTTTTTCTCTTTCTTCTTTTTCTTTGTTGTTGTTGTTGTCATTATAGTTCCCACCCCCCCCCCCCCCCCGAAGATGTCATTACTCTGTAAGCAGCATTTATGTTAGCATGTTAGCATGCATAAACAGATATGTGATTTATATCCTAGGAGAATGGTTTTAATGGTAAAAAAACCCCAAACCATAGGGTTTATCTGTATAACATACAGGTTGTAGAAAAGAAAGATTGGTTACTTCTGTTATTTTTTTTGCAGTCAGTCTTTCCATTTTATGTGGAAGCTTTGAAAGATCAATGATGATTCCAGCATGCTAGTTCAAAATATCTTTTCCTTCAAAATGCAATAACCAGCATGATTGTAGTAAATGCCTGTGGGAGACTTATTAAAGAACCTCAGAATAAGTTTGCTCCATTGCCTTTTCATTTCCATCAGCTTTTCAGGAGTCAATTACTTTTATTTTTTTATGTGAACATCTGGAATGTATGAGAGCTTTTAAAGAATTAAAATTTGGTGGACCAGATTCTCCCCGGTGATAAAACCGTGATTGTGTGTCTATATATCTGTACACACATGGTAAAGGGGACTTGTAGGCTCTGCTGGACTGCCTCAGCTCACGCAGTGTCAGGATGATAACCACAAGTAGTTTACAGCAGCTGACATTTCAGATCCTTGCTTCCTCTTCCCGAGCTTGAGGGGATTGCAATAAAGGAATGCTGTAGGAAGCTGCTGTACATCAGGCTCTAAGCCACTGTATGCCTCCTTACATTGTGGTATTTCTGGAGAGAGCCGTGGTTTGAGCTGCCGATTATTTTAGTATGTGTAGTTCAATATTCAGGTAGTTGGAGGACCCAACCAAAATCCTAATCTTTAGATACAAAAAGAAAAAATAAGAACCTAACTGCTGAAATGAAAARCAGTGCCAAAACTGGAACTTTTAGTTAGTTTACATAGTAGCATGGTGAGTGGTGGCAGAAGAGGAGTCTCTTCCGAAAGATAAAGGAGCAAAATTGTTGGTGGATATTAATGAACAGTACTGACATTGACGTCACTTCTTAGAGACTAAATCTACATGTGACTACCAAAATCTACATTTTCCTTTTTTTCTATTTAGCAGCTCTGAAGAGATATGCTTCTGAGTAAAATTAGTGTTTTAAAGATATACACACCAAATCCACATATAACTTGTCAGAAACAAGCTTTACTTCCCTGATTTTTATGCTGTGCTGTTCACCTTGAAATGGAAATGCTGAAGTTGTTCCAAACACTACACCTRTTGCAAATGCCAATGCCCATTTTCATGTTTTATGCTTGTATTCAGCATGTGGAACAGCCCTACAAATTGATGAAAAGTAAGAAATAGTGACACTAACTCAAAAACAAAACAAGCTGAAGGAATAAAGAGAGAACATTCATGTAATAATTGTGGTTTGTAACTGTATTGTATTCTAAGGCCACAGTGCTCAGCTGGGGATTTTTCAGTCAGAAGGATATAAATACAGGCTGTGTAAGACAAAGACTGCCAATCTSGTGCTTCCAGAAAATGGTAAATTTATCATATCATACATGTGCAGCATGCACAAAGGCACCTTTGGAGATGAGTCAGACTTACCAAGTAAGCATCTGTAAAACCAGCTGCACTGTATAGGTGCAACAGATCATTTCAGTTCTTCCCAGGAGTGTGTACCATACTGTGAAAGCAAACAGAGAAGCTTTCTGAAAGCATGTCTTTCAGGACATGCTGTCATATGCATGGTGTYACACAAGCTGTGTGTGAGTACTGCAGATTTGTTCAGATTTTCAGATGTTGTGCAAAGAGATTTCGAGCTGCACATGCGCAGCAGCGTCAAGGCATAAACAAAACCCACATTTTTCAATATTTTCACAGACAAAATTCTTGGGTTTCAAAACAGTTCAACTTACCCACTGTTTTGTCTGCTACTTTTTCTTCAGTTGTATGCTTGGGACTTCTTTGTTTCAACAGGATGATTATAGTTCTGTGTCTTCAGATGTGTTTAGCAGATTCCTGCAACAGCAGGACACCAACATGAAACTAAAATATCCTCTGGTCTTAAAACATGCAGTCAACTCGAGTGTAATGGTACATGCAGGTAAAATAGACATACATGCTCCTGGAGTTACAAGGTGTTTGCCACATTTAAAGTGCAACAGCTGCTATAGTTGCATTTTAGTTCGATTTTGGTGTTTTTTTCACTGCTTTTAATCCACTGGCAATACTTGTGGTCCAACACTGAGGCAAGGAGCTGGAAAGATTACCCCTTCCACGATGTATTCAGGATCCCTGGTCATTTTGAATTGGTGGGGCAGGAGCATCAAATCCCTGTGGATCCATTTTAGTCTGGATCTATCTCTTGTCCTGACATTATGATGCTAATAGCAGCACAATCTTGTTTTTTTCAGTTCCCTCTAAATAATTTTTTAGCAGTCTGCAAATGTAGAAACATGGTTACCAACTAGGGAAATGTTGAAGTTATTGTATCATCTTCCAGTGAATGAGACCAAACCATGTATGTTTTTACAACCAGCAGCCCTTTAATTTGGCTGCAGTCAGCATTCAGGCATGTATGCATACTGCMGTGCTTTTTGCAGGGTACTTTTAACTTGCCCTTTTGATGCCAGCCTCCTGTATTTCATCCCACAGCTACATCACTGTGTGCAATGTGTAGGGTAATAAACATTAATTAAGTCTTCATTTAAATGG